TGGGTGGGGGGGGGGTAGTGTAAAACCTGCACACGGGCTGGCAGAGCGGAGCCACTGTTTAGTAAAGAACAATAAACACTCCGAGTGGGAGCTGCGCGATGGGATTTATTGACAGCTGCCTTTAATAGATCCCCGCTCAGGCGGTGAAGCGGTCCATTTTGTCTCGCAAGAGCTGATGTCACGCGGCACGGGAAGGATCGTGCCTTTGCCTGTCCCAGCGGCGTCCATTCCCCATGTCTTCGGTTAATACCGGAGTGGAAATATGGAAGCCTTGAAAGCAACGCTCTCAGGGTAACCTGTCAAATCCCATTGGCTGCTCTATGTTCTGTTACTAATCTATGTCATTGGGCCAAGCCAAACTCTACATCCCAGAGTCAAGAATGCAAAGCCTGGCTTGAAGGGAAAGGCCTGGTGAGACACCAACTGCTGAATCAGAAGAAAGGGCGAGGAGATGGAGTCGGCCCAAAACTGTTCGCAAATGTTGGCTTGGAGTGTTGCTAACTGCGATCAATCACCGCCGGGGAATCACTGTGTTAGAGAACATTGTAAATCCTCTTCCAGGCTCCTCGTTTCTCCCCGTCTGCAGCGTACAGTATGTGCCGCTGCCATTCATTAGACTTGAGGGATGACCCCGGTCTTTGGCTCCGGCAAGCCCGGTTCTACTACTGTAAACACAAAGATAGCCCGTGGAGTTGCAGTCTAAGGACATCTGGTTTGTGTGACAGACAAAATGAAGGGACAGGTTAACTGGACCGTGATTAAACTCTCATTCATTGTGATCCAAAGCAGCTTGGGCCTCTGGGTTGTCTCCAGAACGCCAAAGCGTAGTGCACTGTGTACTTGATCAGATAATATATCGCTGTCTGCCCAACATGCAGACAAAAGGCTGTAGGACGGCAGTGAAGGCGGCAGTCTGGTAGCAAGTGTTCTGACTGATTCCACCCGTCCATTCTAGACTCTTTATCCTGCTCGGGGGTCATGGGTGAGCTGGAGTCTAGCCCAGCTGACTTCAGGCAAAAGGCGGAATACGCTTCCGACTGGACCCTAGTCCATAACAAGCCAAGGGGAAACAACCACACACGCTGTCACTGAGTCACTGAACCCACGCTGGGCCTCTTGTTTGTCTGTGGAACAGCAAAGCAAAGCGTATTGTGGCCCTGATCAGATAATATATCGCTGTCTGCACGAAATGCAGACAAAAGGCCGGAGGACAGCGGCAGTCTGGTACCTACAGTTCTTACTGATTCTATCCATTCATCCATTTTCTATACATCAAGTCATGCTCAGGATACTAGGGATCTGGAACCAAGCCCATAAGGCAGACCCTGGACTGGTTGCGAGTCACTAACAAGGCACATATACAGAGAAAAACATTCACTTTCACACAGTCAGGAACTGAATTGATGCCGGGCTTCTGGGTTATCTCTAGAACACCAAACTTGATCAGATAATACATCACAGTCATACCTGGATTTTTGACCATAATCCGTTCCAGAAGGCTGTTCGAAAACCAATTTGTTCGAAAACTGAAACCACGCTCTTTTAAAACAAAAAAAAAATCTTTATTGAACACGTCTGCTCACAATGGAACGCCACACGAGGAAGGCGAGGGAGTCAAATGGCGCATTCAAGTGTGCTCAGTTTGGTCGAGAACCGATTTTCGGTCGTCATCCGAGGCATAAAAAACTCAAAATTTTTGGTCGAAAACCCGATTTGGTCGAGAACAGAGATGTTCGAAAACCGAGGTTTGACTGTACAGTAATCCCTCATTTATCGCGGTGAATGGGGACCAAAACCACCCACGATGAACGAAAATCCGTGAAGGAGCGACCAATGAACATATACAGGTTAAAAAAAAAATACTTTTTTGTTTTAAGTCCGCAAAAAGTCCGCAAACGGTCCACGAGAAGCTGCAAAACAACAGCGAGTCACATAGAGCAACATATACAGTACTGTACTCCATGTACGTATATGGAAAATTGTTTTTTATTTATTTCTTTATTTATTTTTATGAATATGTTTGAAAAAATCCGAGATGCACTGAAGCTGCGATAAACGAACCACGAAATAGCGAGGGATTTCTGTATATCCCTGTCTGACTGACATTAGGCCAACAGTACGATGGCGATCTGGTAGCAATAGTTCTGATTGATCCTTTCCACCGATCCATCTGTCCGTTTTTTTTTATACTGCTTATCTTATTTCGGGTTAAATAGAGCTGATAGCCATGCTAACAAACTTCTGGCACAAGGCGCAATACTGCACACCCTAGACTGGTTGCCACACCATCATATACAAAGACAACCTTTCACACTCACATCGACTAGCATCAGACCTAAAGCCAGCTGAGTGAATCGCTACATTATCACTCAAAATGTATCGAGCTCTGCTCCTGTTGTCTACCTGTTTTTTTTGTTTCCCGTTCCTTGTTGTACATGACACCTTCTCTCAGTGCCAAACACCGGCGAAGCATATCTTTTTATTTTTTTCCCCCTCCCCTGTACTTCCTGGTACTCTATAATTTCTCTCTTCTGCTTCCAAAGAGCTCAGGGGCTCCGAGTGCCAGTGCTGAATCTAAGCCTTCAAAGGGCCCCTTTTATCTCCCCGCCGCAACCCCGGCCCCCGCTGCGAGGCGAACGGAGCATCGCTCAATTATTAATCAGACACGTTTTCGCACACTTTCGAGCGACACAGTTGAATGAATAATGAGTTTGGTAACATAAGAGGAGGGCCACACCGATGATGAGCTCATGAGAGTACGTTTATGAAGGCTAATGTGTCCAATTAAGGCCATTTGAGCCAAACTGAGGAGGATTACTATCCTATTTTTCAGTCACTTGGGATCCAAATTGACATTTTGCCGACTTGATGGCAAACAGCTGCAACACCGTCGTCCGTGCGGCTTGTGCATCTGTCCACTATTTACGTGCTGTTAGCGCTGCTTTAAGTCTCTACCAAGTCCCGCAGGAAGTATCTGGAAAGATTTTCAGCTGTTAAACGCTTCGTTCTGCTTACTAGCTAGCCGCTAACCGTGTGCGTTTGCTGCCAAGTGGATAGTGTAAAGTGGGCTTTTAGAGATTCCTCCCAAAAGGCAGCTGCAGAAAAAAACAAGGGATGGGAAAAAAAAGAGCCTGACGAAAGAACAAAAAGACATTTTCTTTCAGTTTAACAATACATGCATTGAGAAATTTAATCAGTGGTAACTTTTTAAGTGGAAAAGTTTGGACCGCTTTTCGAAAACAGGACAAGAGCGATTAGTTATCTGCATCTCAAGCTGGAGTGTTGTCATTTAATCTTTTCAGCCTGCCTAATGAAATATATCTTTTCTTGAATCAAATACCGCCAGGATCGAAAGGGGGAAAGGGGAGGGGCAACTTTGTACATCGCTACATTACAGACTTGGAGGGGGACTTTTTGTTTCATATATGTGGACATATTTAATACGTTCAAATCTCGCTGAAATAATATTGACGTAAGTTGTTCACTTCCATTTTGTCGAGCAAGAGAGAAGTTATCGTTGTTGACTAATGTCTTAAGCATTTACTGCATTAAAAGTAAAAATGGTGAAAACAACTCATTCCCCAGACAAATTGCTTGTTTTATTTCCAGCTCCACTGCACGAAACCAGCAGTTTTTTTTTTCGCTATAAAGAAGTAGTAAAAATGCTTGCCGGCTGTGATTGCCAGTTCTACAACACTGCAAAACACCACAAACAACACTATTTGGAGTATTTCGTTTTAATGGTTTTATCATAATTGTTTTTTTTTTAATTTAAAACATTTTCCGTTGTACCTGTCTTATGTTCCAGAGCCTGGAATGAACCGCTACCACATCCAGTGGATGCCTGAGTACTGCCACCACAACGAGACGCGGGGACCAGAAAAATCCTCCACGCAGGTTTGCATCCACCGGCTGTGTCCCACCTTTTACGAGATTTGCTTTGGAAAAGTGCCCGATTCCGATTTTTCACTTTGACGTGTAAGTGTACTGATCACCTGAAACATCCCTCATGCGTCCAAAATACGCATACATGAACAGGTCCAAAAGTGTCCACATCATTCAGCGACAGCACAGAAGTAAACACGAGCTACTTAATAATTCAAATATCACTAGTTAGCCTGGAGTGACTCTTCACCTCCTGGTTTGAATGCAGGCAACATTAGGATTACTCCGCTGACTGCCGTCTCCAGTCATTTTCCTTATTTAATGGTCCACGTACCTCTAATGTACCATATTTAGACCTTATTTAATGGTCGATGCTTTCATTCCGTGCTGCCATGAGGCAAATCCAAGTGGTGCCACTCGGGAGCCCAAAGTTGCAGTTGTTGTATCAATCCAGCCTAAGTCAGGGTTTCCCCCCTCAAATTTGATTTGTGTTCCAAAATGGGTTGTGGGTCAGTTTTTAAGCAGCTTTTAAACAGATATGCAGTTTCTTGCCAAAGGACTTTTTAAGTTCACGTTGGGTTCCTAGAAAGGAAACTAAATTCTAATTTTGGTCTCGTGCTGAAAAAGTTGGGCCAACTTCGCTGAGGCAGAGCAAAGAGAGAGATCCTCATCAGCGGCGCTGTGCTATGCAAAGCACGCGCCTCCTCTTTTTGTTTAACGCTTTAGCCCGGACAAATCCTCCATTCGGGTGAACCTGAAACCCAATGGCACTCAGCAAATCAATGGCTGTTGTTGTGAACGCTCTGATTCAGTCTTGTGGTCAGGCGATTGGGGTGATGGCCACTAAAAGGCATTTAATAAAGCAAATGTTCCCGGAATGGAGGACAACATTGACTGTGCCTCCACACCAGGCTTCTTTTCGGAGAGTCAAGGGAGGTGAGGGAGGCGCGGGGGGACTGTTTGTGCTCAGGCTGATACAGGATGGCAGAGACCTGGCCAATCAACACATTCTTTGGGGAGCCCGACTGTGGTTGCTAGGAAATATACATCCTGCTTCTATAGATGGCCGGGAAGGATTCCAGCCTTGTGCTTTCATGTGAGCGCAGCGCCTCATTCACTTTTAATCAAAGCTGTTTGGTATCAGAGAGAATCTACACGACGGCTCTCCAGGGAGCGCCCTGCCCTGTTAATCTAGAAGCTTCACTTTTTCCAATGAGAGATCGAAATTCACACGTCAGCGATATTTCCTCAAAAAGGAAATAAGAAATGCGATATTTTTTTTTCTGTGCTTTGTTTGAGGGTGTGTTCAGATTATTTGGTTCTCTGGTCTGGACCAAAGTAGAAAATGATTTGATCCATTTTCTTCTGTCTTTAACATCTCACAAGATGCATTGGATCAAAATTGCAACCTTGTTGGACCGCTTTTTTTTTTTTAACCCTTTCATGCACAAACAATCATAACCTACATCAGGATTCTTTTCTCAAGTGTTTTTATTAGTCGTCAAGTCAAGTCAAGTCAACTTTATTGTCAAATGTGCTACATGTGCAACATACAGCATAGATGAAATGAAATACCTCAGGAGAGAGAGGAGCTGCTGCGGGTGCCCGCGCCGCCATCAAAAGAACAGTTAACATAAAATGACAAAAGAATACAACACAACACATAAGAGACGGACAGTCGTCCAATCTTAACCACTTTTTCTGCATACACTTCAGACATAGAAAAAAAAATGGTCATGGATGGCAACACACATAAGAGGGTCCATTGTATTGGTTGATGCACAGTGATGACATTAGAGATTAATTAATACTGTATAAGAGAAAACATGTGAATGGCTGTCCACTCTTGTAACTGCTGTCCGTGAAAGGGTTAATGTATACTAAACTCAAATGATTTTCTGTTTAGATGCACTGAATATTGCTAGTTCAAGCTTTGGAAATGTATTCCCGTCATAGGCAAATTGAATACAATATAATACGAACATGACCAGCACCCAGATGAAAGGGTGCTCAAAAATGATTCAAATATACATTTTGAAGTGAACGATAGATACTGCTTGGTGAGATAAATGGTTTTAAAATTTACATTGCCACGTCAACAATTAACAGTCTTGGACCTCCAAAATGTAACATACTTCACTGTATATTACCAGTTAGTGCCATTTGAAAGTCGTTCAATCGCAATATTTCGTTTGTCTGAATTGAGAATGCTACTTTTACCAAACCAACTGCATACAGAATTTTGAGGTATGACATTAACTTTAATACATCGATGGCCATGAATTAACCCTTTCATGCACCCTGTAACCTGACAACATGGTAAGCTGTCCACTGTAGTAACCGCTGTTGATGAGAAAACAATGCCAAATAGACACATAACGATGTATGGTCATCGCAGGGCGACTCCATTCAACTTTTTCAGTAAATCGGTCATTAGCATTTCATTCTTATAGCTTTACAGATTAAAACAAAAAGTCAAATCCATATCCCATGAGTTGTATTTTTGAAATTTGTCAATTCTGTCTCATCAACAGCTGGCTCGAAAAAAATAAGTAATCACGAACATTCAATGGTCCCGCAATAACATGAACAGGTTTGACCTGAAAGAATTATCGTAGCGAAAAGAACGAAAGTGAGGCTCTCTAATGGGAGCCATGTTCACTGAGCCCGAGCGGGAATGTGATCCGCCTTGGCGCCGCGCTTTTAATTATCTCAGAGGCTCGGCGGGACGTGACCCCCAATGTCATGTCAAAATCATCAACGGGACTCAATGGTTGTGTTTCTTGGCTCAGGAGAACTACATCAACCTCCCAGGCCTGTTGTTCTCCTGCAAGTACAAGGTCACGGTTCACATGCTCAAGTCCAAGAGACGCTCCAAGGAGGAGAGCATCACCTTCCTCACGCCGTCCTGCGCTACCATCCGGAGCAAGACTCACAAACACATCCCCTGCCCGGGAGAGGGAGGCAAGTGTCCATACATTTCGCAAAACAATCTGATTACTGTTGATATAGCAATTAAACACCGCAAGTGGATTTAATCAAGGTAATGAAAAAGAATACATAAACTATCAAAACAATATTTCAACATTTTGGGATTCCGGCCATCGAAAAAAAAAAATTAAAATTCTGATTGGGCCAAGAAATAGTCTGGCACCTAACACCCTGCACAAGTACTATGTGTCGGTTTATACAGATCTCTGTGGAGCGCATACCTCCTGCAAGGCCAGTGTACAAAAACATGTAGTGTCGATTTGATTGATGGAGGCTTTACAAAAATGTCGTCACAGAGATGGATGAAAAAGCAACGTCCTTGGCGGCGGTATTCAGGTTTGACGCATAATTCACTGATTCCCCTTTTGCTTTATAGATAGCATACCGACCTAAAATGGTATCAATCTTCTACTGAATATTTGGCAAGATACCGAAGAAGTGTATTTTTCCTCTCTCTTTCTGAACAGCTGCAGTACTTCCTAAAGTTTTGGCCAAGCCCGAAAACCTGACGGCAACGTTTTCCATCAACGGAGGAAATATCACCGGCAGCTTCCTGTGGCGTGTGTCTCGGGTGGCGGCGCACCAACGCATTACGGGTTTTCAAGTCACCTGGGCTGAAATCACCACCGAGAGTCGACAGAATAGCCTGCCCAACAGCATTATTTCCCAGTCTCAAATCCTGCCTCCGGTAAGAAATACCGACGCTTTGTCACATAGCTCAGCTCTAGTTTCCAGGGTAACACTCTCATGCCATCAAGTTATCGCTCTTTTATTCAAAGATAATTTCCTGAGTATAAGATGCCCCCTAATGCAACCCTCACAGGTTAAAAGCTATGCTTTTACCACTTTCCCAGACCGATGATTGAGGGATTTCAAAGCATCATTAAGATAAGATAAGAAGACCTTTATTGGTCTCACAATGGAGAAATTCCCAATTTCCAGCAGCAAAATTATGAAAGGGAGAAAGTAGAAGGCAAAAACTATGTCAATAAATATAAATATAAAGTATAAAATATAAATATAAGCATATTAAAAATGGGTGAGTGGGGGTGAGTCCAGGATTTCAGGAACGTCTATTCAATAGCCTGACAGCAGTCGGCCGGAACGAGCGGTGGTCCCTCTCCTCCTTGCAGCGAGGGTCTCTGGCTGAAGGAGCTGCCCAGTGCTGTCAGGGTGGCCTGGAGGGTCTGTCCATCATAGCTGTTAGCTTAGCTAGCATCCTCCTGTTGCCCACCTCCTCCAGAGTGTGTCCAGGGAGCAGCCCAGGACAGAGTTGAAAATCAAATTAAAAATGTAAACGTTTTCCAAAATCTTGTTGTTGCAAAGTACTGTACCCTCTTTTAGTAAGCTCCTTTATATTTCTTTGCTTTTGAAAAGTCTTAAAAGATGTGAAGCACATTGAGATACCTCTTATGTTGTGTATGCGTATTTGCTGCCCAAAACCTCAAACAAAAGACAGTGTAATGACACAATCTAGTAACCAAAGAAAAATAATTACACTTAGTAACGTACATAGCAGCTGGACATATTATTTGACACAAAGTCCACACCCGGATTACTTAGCAAGGAGAAACAATCATGACATGACGCCAGAATATGCAAATAGCTAACAACCTGCGCATAAGAAGTGCAGCGAACGCAACAGCTAATGCTAGCGGGCTAACATGGCTAACTGTCCCACGACCGTACGGGCGATTATAACTGCAGCACGCAAATGCAGATCATGTACCTACTTTTCATCATCTCCTTATAAAGCCTCATGTAACGATAATTTCGTTTCAGAAGTAAAAATGTGTACCTCCACTTTCTGTTCCGTATTGAGGTCTGATTTGTGAACATAGGACATGAATGATTAATTATGCTCCTCAAGTAAACACTGTTTTAATGACTGACAGCGTATTACTGATTAGTCTTTTTTCTTTTTTTTTTTAGTTTTGTTTTTTTTAGGGGGGGGGCATATGGGGGTGGAGACCTATTCTAATGGGATGCAGGGCTGTGGACCACCCCAAAACCATGAATCAGAAATCCGTGATGTAACACTTTCTCAAGATAACTACAACACGTAATTGCTTGATGGATTGGTTTTAGCATTTAGTCAAACAATGTCAAAGTAGTGCTTGTGTCCTTGTATCCTTTTTCTGGGTGTGGGTTTTTTTTTTCTGTTTGGACACACCTCTTCTAGACTAAACTCCAAGCACGCCTACCTACAAAATTGGAAGTGTGGAGTGGCTCACAATGTCAAAACTGTTCAACTAAGGACAAACAAATGGGTTTCGAGCAAGCCCTGAATGATTAATGAATTAAAAATGCATGGATTTAGACAACCACAAGATGATATTCCAGTAGTTCATCAAACTGTATAAACAAGGTTTTTTTTTTAACCACTTTACACCCGGTCTACAAATTCTGACAGCGCCCAAAAGAAAACCGAAGCGGAAGTACTGCAAAATTATGTTCTGCACCAGAGACCATGATTCACATGTATCCCCCTTGGGCTACATTGAATCAAGAGGCGGTGTTCCTTGTCTATAGAGTTTTTAAAACTCCTGTAAGAGTTCTATGATGAATTATGACAGGTCACTTGTGTTTCCGTGAAAGAAAAAGCTCCATCTTTTGTGTTTTGGGTTCACACCCCGTGGCCTTCCTTGGATGAGTCTTTTGTGCGGACAGACACTCTGGGAAAAGCTCCGCAACGTCGTTGTTCTCACACTCTCATATCGTTTCATCTGCCTTTGCGTCTTTTCCCTTTCATCCTTTTTCGAGAACGGCTTTTTGACATCATCTTGCTCCCATCACCGACGCGGGTTGCGCCTATCTGCGCCTCCCAGCCTCTGGAGCTCGACTATAAATAACGCCACCCACTGCACGCTTTATCAGGCCGGCTGCAGAGACGAGAACGAGGCGGCCTTATGAAAGCCGTGATTTGTTTTTGTCTGAGTCTTGTGCAAAGATACTCCCCTCTCCTGTTTGCCAACTTTCATTAGGATTTCATCTGATTGCGTGTGTCTCTGTGGTCGCTCGGCAGGATCACAATCTGCTGGTCGTGTCCAACCTGCGGCCGTCCACCTACTACAGACTGGAGGTGCAAGTAATAACGAGTGGAGGGGAAGGCCCCGCCACGGTCAAGACCTTCCAGACTCCCAACATATTACCGGTCAATCAACATCGTAAGTGTGAGGTCACGCCTGAATCTTCTCACTGGTTTCATCACATCAGGCGCTTCTCACCATTAAACTGTTCCAACACGATCAAATCAGTGCAATGTGGTTTGCCCTTTAGGGAATCGACCGTTCATCTATTTTCTATTCCATTTATCCTGCTGAGAACTGGAGGGAGATGGCGACTATCTCACACACACACATTTCATACTAGATAGATATATACATACATATATACACCGTATTTTTCGGATTATACGTCACTCCGGATTATAAATTGCACCAGCCAAAAAAAATGCAGAATTAAGAAGGAAAAAACATATATAAGTCGCATTTTTTGGGGAAATGTATTTGATAAAATCCAACACCAAGAACATACATGTCATCTTGAAAGGCAATTTAAAATAAAAATAAAACTAGAGAAAAACAGGCTGAATAAGTGTACGATATGCTAACATTACATGACGCTTAAACAATGAACTGTGAATATGCCTGGTATGTTCACGTAACATATTAAGAGTTATTTAGACAAGATATACACACACACAGATATACATTTAAACATATTTTATTGAAACTTGTTTCTTCTGAAAAAAAAAAAAAAAAGAAATACAAACACAACAATGTACGTCCATATTTTCATGCGCGGATGAAACACAGTATTTTTCTTCATGACTCCAAGCTGTCACATAAAATCCAAACGAATGCGAGCGCGTGTCCGCTTAGACGCCAAAAATCGGAGATGTCGCAAATCACCGTGACAGGCTCGTCTCTTTAAATCAGATTAGTGTTGCGTGCGTTCAAGAATGATTGTGACACTCGGCTTTTTTTTTTTTTTTTTTTTTGGTCAGACTTTTTTTTACATACATCACTCTGCAACATGACACGCTAACTGCAATATTGTATTTGCCTACTTGAGGAATCTGACACATAGAGGAGTTGAATGAGTCACTGGATTGTGACGCTATAACAGACAAACAGACAATGCAAAAGCACATTAATGCTATCCATTAATGGGCAGGACTGTCAAAAATTGTCATTCGTCCGGTCGTGTGTGTTTTTATTTATTCATTCCTACAAAGCCGGTGAGGAGCATGAAATTTAGTTGGCGCGTCTACCATGAGTAATGCAGAGCGTGTCAAGAAATCCAGCCCAAAAAAATGAGAGGCTGGAAGGTCTGACATTTTAGTTTGAAATGCCAATTTTAGCAGTGCTTCAGAAAGAACTCAAAATTTTGCCCAATTCCTACTATAATTGAACCTTGATTACTCGACGAGTGATTCTCAACCACTGTGCCGCAGCACATTAGTGTACTATGAGAGTTCATCAAAGAGTCGTGTGGGAAATGATACTAATACACTGAATTGGTCTAAAAAAAAAAAAAAAAAAAAGAAATAATCGATTTTTGTCATCTGTATGCCAGTGATGGACGGAACAATTAAATCCTCTTCCACTAGATGGCAGAAGCTACAATTAACCTTCGCGTCCATCTGTTGCCATTCATGCAGCAGAATGAGCAATGGGTTCAAGCAAACAGGGCCAGGGTTGTGAATAAACTGAGATGCGATCATCAGTATGTCAGTATTTACACTTTTTTGGACATTTTTCCTTGTTGGTGATGTGCCGTGTGATTTTTCTCAGGTGAAATTTGTGCCTCGGCTCAATGAATGTAGAGAAGTACTTTACAACAAATGTGGACAAAAAAGATCAAAAGATTTCGTTTTTTTTTTCCCCATCGTGTGTGGGTGGAGCTGGGAAGTAAAATCCAACGATTCCATGAAACGCGAAATTAATAACACCGCAAGGTCAGAGCTTGACCAACAGTCTGATGTGTGATGAAAACGCTGCTTTGAAGAGATTCGCAGCCGAAATCTAGCGGTGCAAAAATTGCTCCTGACTCCCTGATGTCCTTCAAACGCTCTCTAAAAGAGTCTTCTGTCTTACGTACTCCCTAAATCCCGGCGTGGCTCGCACTTTAATTTGAACATTTTTTTTTCCAGGGCCCAGACTCCGGCAATACCATTCGCATCACCAGAAACCATCAGTCGAAAGACACTGAGTCGCAAAGTGAGGCAAATCCAGTCGCTTTTTCCCTCCCATCCGTCAGAGACTATCCGGAAAGAAAGCGTGGAATGGTGAACTCTCCCGAAAACCAACGCCCCCACCATCCTCCCTTTCCATTTATGAAATAACAAGTCCTCGCCCTTCAAGGCACCACAAGACATCCCCTTCCGAACCCTTCAGACTCCCTACGTCAGACCGGTGTGTACAGTTTTCATTTGGCGAATTTGACTACAAAATCGACTGTTGTGCATTTGCTAGTACGCAGCTCTTAATGGGAATCCGACACGTCGACAACAGCAGCAGCGATCGTAGTTTCAAGGCGGTCCGAGAGAACGCGCAACACAGAGAAACGATATGTTCTGTCGCAGATTTGTGAAGAAAAGGACGAGATCTATTTATTTTGTCACGGTTGTCTAACCCAGAATCTGAGTTCCGTTGCATGTAGTCCATTCAACTTAAAAAAAAAAAAAAAAAAAAAAAGTCGGAGCTCCAATTGGAGAGCTTTTGCATGACGACTGTTGGCATGGAAGAAAAAAACAAACAAACTTAAATGCTCCTTTTTCAGTATGTTAGAGATATTCCATTAACGGATTAACAAAGAACTATACTGGGAATACCATGCGATGTTTATTAATGAAATTATAACGTGTGGAAATGATGCATTGTACATCTTGGCTGTAGAAATGTTTGTCGTGGAACAGTCAGTGAATGTCGATATTTATTTATGTGTGTATTCTAGTTTGATTTGGATGTGTGTGGATGTGGATGTTCCCGTGTGTTTTAGTCTCTACTTTTGTTTTACGTTTTTGTTTTTGGAAGCAACACAAACCTTGTAAAGACACTTTGTAAAAATGGAATTGTAAATACGGTCTTATGTTACATGTTATTTTTCCATGGTAGAAACTGTACAAACTGCGAAGTAATAAAATAATCCTTAACCAGATCCTCGCTCGTTGTTTGTTCAGTCGGAGTGGGTGAACGGTAAATAAACACACGCCTTCCCTACCGCGCTGAACTATTTGGCCGTTGCTGATGCTTATTTTGGCTCACAAAAACACCACCGTGCCAGCTTATTCAGAGATGAGCCCAGGAGCCGAGGACATGCGCCCTCCAAGTCCAAATAAACAAGTCATCCGGCCCCGACAAGCCGAGCGCAGTTAGCAGCGCGGAGGACCGGGACCCCTTCATCAAAATGCCCCCCGCTTCACATAACGGACTGGTGCTAAATGCCTCCTACGCTCGGTAGCCCTTTGCCCTCGTAAACCTGGAGAGGGGCAATGTTTTCCCGAAATAAAACTCGGAATTGATTCTTAAGAGTGATGCCTTTGTATGACGGTAGCATTAAAAAACGCCGCTCGGGGGATTCTTGTGTGGCTTATGATAGCGACTCCATAGCACAGGAGCGAATGCAGAATGGTGCCTTTTATAACGTTTATATCGTTTGATGTGACTAATTCTTCTGGAAAGTTTTGCTCAAGCGGCGTAGGAGGGTTTTTGAATTCCCAGTCACGCTGTCAGACTTGTTTGCAGATGGTGGCGCATACTATATGTTTCATCAGGATTATGTTTACCTCTGTCTACGCCAATATTTACATGGTGGGTTTTCTGTCCCATTTCTAAAAAAAAAATCTGAGGAGGACTGCTACATCGCCCATCTGGAGGTGAGCCCATGATGACACAATATGTTGCAGTCCAGTCGTAGAAGATCAAGGGTCCGACAAAGTGGACACGCTTCAGATGGCCTTACGGTGAACCACCTCGCTTCTGACATTCCTCTCGGAATTATGAGGACGAAGAGGGTCAACCTAAATTGGAATCTGGGTCTAGCGGGTGGAAAAACATATCCGTTGACCAGAGCACAAGAGCTTTCGGGAATATTCACTACATGATGTGTTCTGACACGAATAAAAAAATATCAACACCAAAAATGACATGAAATATGTGTAATACAAATTCAAGGTGTTGGATACGTTAAAGTGACGGAGATGTTATTGCCGTTATTTGTTCTTGCCAATATGACGGCGAGGAACATGACTTTACCGATGAGAAACACACAACAAACAGACTTTGCCTGGATAACCTGGAAGGTCCTTTTTCCCCGCCGTTCGCCCGGAGCGCTTGACAAGCCGGATTTAACCGGCGCTCACTAAAACAATTTGAAACGTCGGCTCTTCAGGCCAAGGCACACTTTTCCATTTTGTGTCAGAGGACCTCAGATGAGCTCAAGCTCAAGAGAGACGTCGGCGGCGTTTGTGGATGCTGATGATTTATGGCCTTCGCCTGGGATGGCGGCGCCTTCACTTATGTTTGTAGATGCGGCAACAAACTATTTTTTACTGACATCATTTTTCCAGCGTACTCCTGAGCCCAAACAATAATATTCTGAACACATTCATGACTAGTTTTAATATGGTGCTGCCTGATGGATAGCAGGAGATCTATTGTTGGTTTTCAACACTTACCTGGAGCTTTTGATGTGTCGTATTCCAAAAATTCTGGTTATTAAATACAAAAAAATCCCAATAAACACATTTCACTCTCACCGATCAAAAATGTACCTTTTTTTTTTTTTTTTTTTTTAATCGTTGCTATGGTCCCATTTCACAAACAGACCCTTGACGGGAAACCGCCTTTGAGCAACACCATTGCGGCGAGACGCAGGAAGGCAGTAAAATGGCACATGACCTCTTTTTTTTTTTTTTTTTTTTTTCCACAATGCTCATGGAGCCAGAATCATACATGCTAAATGAAAGCCATCATTTACCACAACTCAACAGGTCTCTTAACACACATCAGCAACAGAATCAATTAGAGAACAAAGTGTTCGCCGGGTATAACTGTGATTTTTGACTATGACAAGTGTTGAAAACTAAGAGGCAAAAGAGTTGCTAGCCATATAACGTCTCACGTGTGCTCCAAAATCAGATTACTGTCATAACAAGACTGACCTGTGGCAGGCAGTATGGTCCAAAAAGGCAAAAGCGCAAAATACCTTTGGAACGTATATAGGGAAGCATGTTTTGAGACTTGACCGTATATTTGAGAATTTACATTTGTGTGTGTGTGGCGGATTTTTTCAAAAATATTCATAAAAAAAAAAAACAAAAACAAATTTAAGTCCGCAAAAAGTCCGCAAACGGTCTGGGAGAAGCAGCGAAAGTCAGCAAAACAACAGCGAGTCACATAGAGCAACATATACAGTACTACATGTTTCTGTTGACTGTATTTTGTTATTCATACACTAACCTAACCTAACTTATACATGTTTAAATCTATTAGTATACAGCATTAAGTAATGTTAATTACGACAAAATTTACTTCTACATGCATGTATACCATTAAATTTGGCCTTATAAATATTTTTTATACTCATACACATGTACATGTACGTATACGGGGGGGGTCGCTACTTCACGGATTTTCGTTTATCGCGGGTGGTTTTGGTCCCCATTAACCGCGATAAACGAGGGATTACTGTAGATATAAATTTGGAATCGTTAACCATGACTGTTTCCTGAGCAGACTGAATATGAAAATTCTTAGCGAGGGCTGTGCAATTAATTGAATTTTAATCATGACTGATTTGTCATGACACGATTAAATTAACTTGATTATCAGCGATATTTGTGTTTAAAATGCCGGCTCTGCTGCATATCTAGAATGGATCTCATTATTAGAACTTGAAAAATCAGGCATGGGCTTTTTCTTGCACCGGTGTGGGATTACAGAGTAAAAAAAAAAAAAAAAGCAAGCACCTAGAACAGTTTTCCCAACTCATGGAAGCAGCACTGTGTGCAGGGACATATAAAAAAAACCGAACTGCGTCAAAAACTTCACTGAGTAATCGCGTATGTACTAGTTATTGGAAGTTCACACCATCACTCTCGCTTGGCCGTCCTGCCTGTGGGGAACGTGGGTGCGTCTTTATGATAACGTTTCAGATGGTGTCGTCTCAAAATGGCCTGAAAGTGGTTGTGGGGGCGTTTATTATGTAAATTAGCTCCCACTGTTATGCAACGGGGGACAAAAGTGCAAGAACAGCTTATTCTTTTTCGGAAGCAGGTCGACAAAATATATACGGTATGATCTTACTTAATTTCACGCTTGATGGGTCGGCAAGCACCCAAGAGACCGAATTATTTATATACAAACAAAGAATCAATTGTCCTTAGAATATTCACTGTAAAAGTTCCAACATGAGAGTTATGAAATGTAACGGGTGGGGGGGACAAAATTTAATTGTAAGAGTTCTTCGGCAAACCGGAGGTGATGAACCACCATTGCGCATCAACATTCATTGAATACATTAAAAAAAATGAGAACAGTTACAAAATAACGGTGAGGCTAAGCAGTTTGAAGGTGAAATATATTTGTACTCAATCGAACATGTCGTATCCCAACCTTTTGGTAATCAACGTGTTTATACGACATGTAACGTAATCTGCTTTCTTTACCACAAGGCTCCTCAATAAGTTTTGTATTCAACACTCCATGGAGACGTCACTCTGCATCATGAACTAATAATTCAGGAATTGCTTCAAAGGAGATTTAAATGTCAAATATGAGATTTAATCCGCTGCACCTGAATTCGGGTCACGGGGGGAGGACGCGTTGTTTTCCCGCGTTGTGCACCAACCTCCTACGTACACATATTTCAGTAAATATACAGTTCATGGACGCAAGAAAGCTATTAGGAATCAATCCAAGTGACATCGATTCGACGCACGGCCAAACATCACAACAGCAGCGCCAAAACACGAACCGAGGAGGACTTTCACTGGAGCCAAAACGAAGCCTCCGAGAACGCCGGGGCGCTACGATGACGTTAAACAGAATCCTTTGCAATCACGTTGAAAGTATCCAAACGCAGCGGTTGGAGTTTCTCCTGTTGAGCCTTCAATTCCAATGTTCTTTACATTTTCTAACCAATGACTATTTTTCCGCTGGCAGCGACTTGTATTCCCACAGATAGGTCACGGGGCTTGCAGAGGTTTGTGCATGTATGCAAAGCCCCGAGGCATGTTTTTTTTTTTTTTCTTAATCCATGTATGTGCGAGGGGCCACATGTTGACGTCTCTTTTCATTATCGGTCTCCGTATTTCAATGAAAGCTGTTCAAGTCATACAACGAGCATGTAGGGGTGACGCAAAAAATCGTGAAAACCTCGAACGTACTTGGTGAATGCTTGGATTAGCGAGAGGGGCTGAACTACTCGAGACTTTTTGTGGACTTTAATGTCCCCTAGAAACAAAAGAAAATGATTAAATGCAATTCTTTTCAACGAGCCAGTCAGTCTCTTCTCGCATTCCATAGCGTAGCGTGTTCTACGAAGTAAAGTAGACACATCGACTCGTTGACTCGTCGTTCAGATGGCATCAATGGATTCATTTGCACGTTTTGCCTCTTCTTTGGCTTCTTTGGTCACATTTATTCCGAAGGAGTAACCTCAATGAAGGGTTTCAGTGAAGACTCCAGGGTCAATGTAAATGTTGTCATTTTACAGCGGCTCGCTTCTTTTTTACTCTCATAAGACAATTACGAATGTCAAAAATTGTGTCCAAAGTGACTTGCCGTGGCAAATCCTGATGAGACAAGCGGAAAGTCACAAGCGCGTAATTTCAAAAAAATCAATCATCTCTGATGGAAACTGCTAACGTCAACTGATTACTTAAATGCAAAATTAAAAAAAGAACATTACAAACACTGAATTTTTTTGAACATGTTTAGAAAGTGGAGGATGTTATGGCAACGTTGTTTTTTAAAATATAGCGATTGTTATTTCTTGAATTGTTTTTCAATGTTATTTTTATGTTATTATTTTTTGAAGGACATTTAGGGAACTTCGGTTTCTTGAGAGTCATATCCTGCCTGTTTTAGACCCCTCCCTACTCCAACACACCTGATTCAATTGTACATGATTGTTTCATGCCGCGACAGAGCTTC